AGCTGAAATCTCAGTCCACCACCTCTGTTTAAATTTGCTTTTTCTTTCTCTCAAATACTCATTTTCTTTGTCCAATGTTCCCATTTTGGACACAGAAATAAACATCTTTTTAGAATTATTTGCAAAACAATAACTTTGCTCAACAGTCAATTCTGGTACCATTCTGTGGGTCAGAAGCTGAAAGGTTTGGGAATCTGTGTCATGTTGGAGCTCTTTGAGACAGCTGCACTTTACATATTTTGCTATTGAATTTGATGTTAACCAATTATCTATTGTAGATGATCTGGCCATGTTTTTTGTTGTTGAAAGAAAAATGGGCATCCCACTTTTTTACTTCAAATCTATTTTGTTATTAAATTATTAATGTAGGAAATGGATATTTGGGAATCAGTTATTTGTCGATTTTTTTTTTTAACAATACAGCGCTTCTTCAGTCTTGTCGATTTATTCCAGGGCTTGTTGCTGTAGATTACATTACAATAACAACCACTTTTATAAAAATATTCCTTTCTTACCTTTCAGGGCTGTACAAAAAATTATACACAAAAATAATTTTATCTGTACAACAAAAACAAACAAAGAAAAGAACATCCATTGCCTTGCAGGGCTTCCGTAAGTTTCTGTCCTGTTTGCTAGACATCCATGCATAGTTTTGGTACAGTTAGGAAATTGTTCTTTATACTCTGGTTATGTTAATGAATTACATAAAGTAGTATTGGCATTGTTTTTCTTTTTTAAAGAGTTCAAGCCACAATAGCATCCGGTCCAATCCATATTTTTTTACACAAATGGTACAATTGTAAAATGTTACAATTAATGATACAATAAATTATTTATAAATATTAGATAAATAAATGACTCGTCTAGTTTTTCCTTTTTACCGAATGGTTGTTAACTGTGTAGAATGGTTCTTATTGTGAGCTTGTAGATTAACCCAGTAGTTTGATAAAAATGGAATTTATTTTAATAGAAAGCTTTTCAGCCCCCTCTACCTGTAAATCTGAACTTGCAGTTGGGTCAAGTGTTTCTGTAATTAACCGTAAAAACTAGTATTGGTTTATACCCCATATTTTGAGTACTGTGTGAGATGCTGAATCAAAAACTATGCAACCATATTCAAATATAAACCTTTTGAGATTCATGTAGATTCATTTCAAAGCTGGTCTGTCTGCTCCCCAGTCATGCTAACCAAATATGTCATTATATTTAGTATTTTCTAATATTTGAATGAGCCTTTGAATGTGTGTTTTTATTATAGATTAATATCATTGGCATAGACTATTCATGCCTATTCTATTGAATTCACCAGAAAAATTTCAAAGCACATATCCAGTCAATCAAATATATGTTACCTTTTCTAAAACTTAGCACTTATTAGAATCAAATAATTTTTCAGAAACTGATCTATTAAAAATAAATAATTTGTTGATTTTTTTTTTTCTAACCAAAACAAATAAGTAATTGCTGTGTTGTTCTTGTGTTAATCCTAACCAATAAAGTATCCATGTTGATATTTGTGGATTGTTACACATAGATCCACTGAGGAGTTTTCCGCTATTGGGAAACAAGCTGCAGGATAATTCTGAAAAATTCAAATGTAGGTCCTGTACAAAGCTTAGTCTGTAAAGTATAAAACATGGTTTAGAGTTTAAGTGGGTAACATAATATGGAAATGTGTTTAAACCACATTCATTCTGACTTATTTTTACCTGTGATAATTGCGTTTTGCATAAAGACATTCTAAATGTATGCTGTGCACCCTTTAAATTGTTCCATAAAATTTTGCTTGTCCATCTCTGTCTGTCTCCTCAGACTGAATGACTGTAACCTCTCAGAAAGAAGCTGTGACGTTCTGGCCTCAGTTCTCAGCTCCCAGTCCTCTAATCTTAGAGAGATTGATCTCAGTAACAACAAGCTGCAGGATTCTAGAGTGGAGCTGCTGTCTTCTGGAATGATGAGTCCAAACTGCAAACTGGAAACTCTCAGGTCTCAACATAAAATAACAACACATTTGAAGCCTTGTTTTATGACTACATTTATGTTGGCCTGCTCAATGGTACGGTGGTTAACACTACTGCCTTGCGGCAAGTAGATTGCACGTTTGATTTCTGGGGTCTTTCTGCATGGACTTTGCATGTTCTCCCTGAATATGTGTGAATTCTCTCCGGGTACTTTAGCTTCCTCCCACAGTCCAAAAACATCACTGTTAGGTTGAATGGCTTCTCTAAATTCACTTTAGGTGTGATTGGTGGTTTGTCCTGTTTATCTCTGTGTTGCTCTGCAATGAACTGGCGGCCTGTCCAGGGTGGATCTCACCCATAGACAAATGGAAAATGATGGATTTGCATTTCATTGCATTTTTCACCAAAAAAAACCCATTTCAGTCCGATTGTACACATTGTTGGTACAAAACTCTGCTCATTCTCATTCTTCCAGTGCTGATGTTCTCCAGCAGAACCAAAGCTTCTATCCTTCCACTATTTTGCAGCCTTTAAATGAAATGGATGTAATATTTTCTGTATATTGTCAACATTAAGTATCTTCACTTCTGACATCTTTATAATCATTTGACTCATCCACCACCATTTCTTTTTCAGGCTAAAACTAAACTGACCCTTTGAGGAAAGAAGTAGCATTTGCTTCTCAGCGACATTTACAAACCAAAGCAGAGGAATATTGCCAGTTTACATTTGGCTGAAGTTTTTATTTCCCATAATTGTTTAGGGCCAGTTGTGATTCAATTTAACAGATCATATGTATGCATGTGTCACATTTTGATTTCTTTCAGGGTTTTGACACGAGTTGTTTGCTTCAGAGTTTCTTAGTTTTATTTTAGCACACTGTTTAATCTGTTTTGTGTGACATATTTTGTTTTTATTCATAGTTTTTTTTTTTTCTCTATCTGTATCTTCAGACTGAATAACTGTAATCTCTCAGAGAGAATCTGCAAAGTTCTGGCCTCAATTCTCAGCTCCCAGTCCTGTAATCTTAGAGAAATGGATCTGAGTAACAACAAGCTGCAGGATTCTGGAGTGGAGCTGCTGTCTTCTGGACTGAAGAGTCCAAACTGCAAACTGGAAACTCTCAGGTCTGAACATCCATTAATGACAAATGTTATGCCTTGAATTATAACTACATTTATTTTATTTATTTGTGTTTGTATTGAAACATTTTTCACAGAGACTTAAAGTTACACGAAAACATAAGACTCCCAGTTACCATTAAACTCGGTTGATTCAGCTTCAGATGAAGGAAAAGGTGGACTGAACTAGAACTCAATGTCAGTTTCGGATTTTTTTAAAGACATACATTAAAAAGATGTTCATTTCATTTGTCTTTTCACCGAAAGCAATGTCAGTCTGAGTGTAAAGATTGCCAGTATTAAGAAAAATCTGCTCAAATCCACAGGACTCCATGTAGGATGCATAAGTTAAATTAAATTAGCACAGTAATCTCTAAACATAGTCTCTGCTCTCATTCTTCTACTGCTGATGTTGTGCAGCAGAACCAAAGCTTCTCTCCTTCCACTATTTTGCAGCCTTTAAATGGAAAGAACATGTATGATTTTCTATAGATTGTCAAATTATGTATCTTGAAACCTGACATGTTTATAATCACTCTACTGATCCACCACCATTTCTTTTTAAGGCTAAAATTAAAGTGACCCTTTGAGGAAATATATGGCATTTGCTTGTTGGCCCACATTTAGAATAGAGTTCAACTTTATTTTATTGTCATTACATTGTCACAAGTACAAAGCAACAACATTCACTCTCTGCATTTAACCCATCCATTCGGGGATAAGTGACTGCCATTGTGCAGTGCCTGTGGAGCAGTGTGGGGGTTACGGTTCTTGCTCAGGGAGCAAGCTTAGATTAAAACCCAGGATCTACTCTTTACTATACAGGCACTTTGTCTAACTAAGCCACAGTGCCTACTGTTATACGTATACCAAATTTTTTGTTTCCTATTATTGTTTGAGGCTAACTATGAGTCAATTTAACAGGTCACAGAACATAGACATTTGTCACATTTTGCTCAATTTCAGGGTTTTGACATCCCTTTCATTGCTTCAGAGTTTCTTAATTTTAATTTGACAAACTGTTTTGATCTGTTCTGTTTAATATACTTATTTTTATTCAATCATACTTAATTCCTCTCTCTGTATCTTCAGGCTGATTAACTGTAACCTCTCAGAGAGAAGCTGCAAAGTTCTGGCCTCAGTTCTCAGCTCCCAGTCCTCCAATCTTAGAGAAATGGATCTAAGTAACAACAAATTGCAGGATTCTGGAGTGAAGCTGCTGTCTTCTGGACTGAAGAGTCCAAACTGCAACCTAGAAACTCTAAGGTCTGAACAGGACACCTTTGAAGGCTTTTTTTTATAACTACATTTATGTTAACTGTTTATAATAATAATACTAATTGTAATAATAATAATGACAATACATTTTATTTAAAAGCCACCTTTCTAGACAAGTATGTACAAAAGATAAAAATACAATGGCAGAAACAAATCAATACACAGAATGAAAACCATTTAAAAATTCAAAGGCTTGGGCAGGGACATTGATATTAAAGAGAATAGGCAATCTTAATCAGAGAAGTTTTTAGTTGTAATTTGAAACTGAATAGTGAGTCTGTGTGTCTAAGTAGGGCTGATATAGAATTCCAGAGACGGGGGCAGAGTGGCTGAATGCTCTGCTCCCCATGGTGGTGAGATGGGCAGAAGGGACAGACAGGTGTAAAGCAGAGAAGGATCTGAGAGCACAGGAGGGTCTGGGAACATGCAAGAGCCCTGATAGATATGGAGGGGCAAGGTGGTGAAGGGAGCTGTCAACAATAAGTGGGAAGATCTCGGTTTTGGAGGCAGTTGATTTAGTGCCAATTAGCAGAACCTCAGTTTCACTACTGTTTAATTGAAGGAAGTCTTTGGTGAACCAGGTTTTTATTTCAGAGATGCAATCTGTAAGGGAGGTGGGCGGGTGACAAGACGAGCTGGGTGTCATCCGCATAGCAGTGGAAGTGGATGTTAAGTTTATGGATAATACTGCCAAGGGGAAAGAGGTACTGTAGATGATAAAGTAGACGAGGTGAGGTGATGGGGTGGATTTGAGGGTCATTAGTTGAATGAACTGATTGCAGCCAGAGAAGTAGGAAGTAGGGAGGGTGGTGTGACAGATGGTATCAAAAGCTGCACTCAGGTTTAGGATGATGAGGATGGTGAGTAATCCAGAGTCAGATGCCCTAAGAAGATCATTGGTGATTTTGATGAGTGCTATTTCAGTGCTGTGGAGTGGCCGTAAACCAGACTTGAACTCTTCATTCAGGCTGTTGGCAGATAGGTGAGAATGGAGCTGGGAGGCAATTGTTTTTTTTCAAGAACCTTGGAAATGATGGGTAATTTGTAGATCGGATGGAGGTTGTTGAAGTAGATGGTGTCGGCACCAGATTTTTTCATAATTGGGGGGATTACATTAGTTTTGAGAAGTGAAGGGACAGTTCCAGTGGTGAGGGAGGTGCTAATGATAGCGGAAATTAGGGGCATCAGAAAGGGTAGGCAGGTTTTGATAAGTTGCATTGGGAGGGGGTCCAATTGGCAGGTGAATGGTTTGGATTCTGGATAAGCTCTGTGTTTCTCAGACAGTGGGAAGATGAAAGGAGGAGAATGAGAATGCAGGTTGAGGGAGATCGGCTGGGGTGCTGAGATAAGGCTTTGATCCAAGGCTCTGGTGAATGTTCTTGATTTTTCCAGTGAAATATTACATTATGTCATTGCAGAAGGAGGTTGTATAAAGGTGTGGGGGGAAAGAGTCCTGGGGTTTGATGATAATGTTGAGTACAGAAAAAAGTGACTTAAAGCTATGTTGATTGGCGGGGATTAAGCTGGAATAGTAGTTTTTTTAGTGGTCAAAATGGAGTCCTTATAGTGGAAGACGTGATTATTTTACATTTCTTTGTGTATAGTGGGGCCTGTTTTTTTCTGTAAAAATGCAATTGTGATTGGGGAGAACTAGGGAGCAGAGAAAGAGAAAGAAACAAATAGTGAGGAAAATGAGTCAAGAATATTATGGAGACCAGTGTTGTAGTGAGAGACAAGCCCAACAGGGGTGAACAGATTATTGAAATCCAGGAGGCAGGAAGAGTGGATACTTGAACTGAGGGTGGAGGAATCAATGTTCTTTATGTTCCAGAAAGATATGAGGAGTGATAATTTAGAGATAGTGAGAGTAAGATTTACTGCAAATGAGAGGGGGAAATGGTCAGTTATGTGGAGTTCATCAGCTGTTATGTTAAGTGGGATGATGCCAGAGCAGCAGATTAAATCCAGAACATGTCCTTTGGAGTGTGTGGGAGTAGTGGTGTATTGCTGGCATGCAGAACTGTCTATAAAGGATGTAAAGTCTTTGGTGAGAGGCAAATTGATACTGTCCATGTGGATATGGGATGTGATGAACTTAGTGAGCATTGAAATGTTTTTAGTAAAGTTAGTAAAGTAAATCAAAACATATGTCTCACAGCTATCACTAACCTGTTAATTCAGCTACAGATAAAGGGAAAGGTGGACTGACTCAATGTCAGTTTTTTTTTTTAAGACATATGTTAAAAATATTAAAATTTCTTTGAAATTTTCACCCAAAAAAATGGCAGTTCAAATGTAAACATTGTTGGTACTAAATAAAAATCTGCTCAAATCCACATGATTCCATGGAGGATGCAATAAGTTTAATTAAATTTACATAGGTACCTCTAAGCATAGACTTCATTCTCATTATTCCAGTGCTGATGTCTTCCAGCAGAACAAAAGCTTCTATCCTTCCACTATTTTGCAGGCTTTAAATGTTATGGACATAAGATTTTTTATAGATTGTCATCATAATGTAACTTCAAACCTGACAAAAAAATCACTCTACTGATCCACCACCATTCTTTTTTTTTACAGGCTAAAATT